AAAGTTGTGTAACCATATTAATCCACGCTAAATCTAAATGATCGCTTGGATACAGCATCCTTTTGGAAGGGGCCAAGTGGACGGCAAGGTTCCATGGATAACACCTTTTCTTTAGTTTCCACAGAAACGGGCCCCGGAAAACAAGCAATGTCACTTTGGAGCGTTTTGTTAATGTTAACCTCACATTGTTCGCATCGTTCGTTAATATTGGAAACATCAGTAGATTCGATGTCATCATCTGTATATTTTTCTGGTTCCCAATAGTTAAACGTCTTTGTTCAATTTCCTCATCACTGAAAACTACTGTGTTTTCAACGTTAGAATTACTAGGTGTATTATTTATATCAATTGGTTTTTTTTTTAAAAAACAGTCAATCCTTTTGTAGTTTACCTGTCTTTTCTATCCTTTCTTTCTGAAGCTTTCTTTTTTGAGCACCACTCAAATGTTTATATGGTTGCTGTGCCATAGCTAAAAAATACAAATATAAGACACACGCACTCGACACTGATCAGTGATCACACACTTTCTAACACTTGCCAGTCCGCACGCAATAAATCAACCGTACCGATCCGAAATTCAACTTCAACTAACGAATACGAATAACGAAAAGATTCACAAAAATATGAAAAGTTATTTGATCACATAATGCTATTGTTATTCTTCCGGACCGTATGCCGGAAGTTCTTATCTTTTTGCTGGCCAGTGAGTCACCGCAGTGTGCAACTCGCTACGTAGTGAGCGATAGATGCATTATTGCCAGTGAGAAACAACAATACACCACTTCGTAACATGATATTAAATAATAAATAGTGCTATCTAAAAAAAAAATGGCTATTTCATATGGCCGTTTTATATGCACAACCTTGTCTGAAGACATTTAGATTTTACCTCATTTTTGTAATTTCTTGGCAATACTGGGCAGGGCCCGTCGCGGGTCCGAACTCCTGGGTCCCGGTAATATTCCCGGTCAAGGCTCTCGGGCGCCCCCAGCTCAGGGGCCCCCCGCACCGCGGGCCCGCTATCGCCATCACTGTATAGTGTTGACTACAAGCCTACCGCTACCACCTTATTAGTGAATAGTGAGTTCGCCCGGTTCACATTTACACTGCTGCCTGCTTTACCCCTGACTACACGAGGGATAATCTGAAGGAGTATTTTGTTTTATTTATTTATATTTGCAACAAGGGAAGATCACTTAACTACAAGTCGAAATCACCCATTTTAGTTTATGAAATCCTGGCTGATCAAAAAAAGTGGGGGAAGCCCTCCAACCACCAGCGCCCCTTGGGCATATGCCCAGTCTGCCTGTTTATAAAAGCGGGCCTGATGATGTGTCTACAAACTGGCCCCAAAACAAGATTGTACAGATAAAGAAGAAAGAATGTTAAGTCTTGAAGAGACGTAGAAATTGGCTAACTCTGGAACTTGCTAACTCGATTATGTCTTTTAGCGGAATTCGCTAACTCTGGAAATCACTAACCCAGCCGCGCCCACTGCACGGAGTGTTGCCAACCTTGTACGACAAAATTATTGTACACTGCCGTATTTAAAAATGTCAGTGTCAATAAAGATAATTATTATTGGTTTTTTACTATCATCAATTCCACTTAAAACAGCTACCTAGCCCAAAGTAATTAAGTCAATTTAAAAATCATTAAATAGTTATTGTTTTGTATTTAATTGCACATTAAATGCCAAATGCCAATTAAATGTTTATGATTTCTATCTTAAGTAAATGCCAGTATTATAGGAAAAACAGAATATGAATTGTGCCACAATTCTGCCTTTTTGATGTTACTTATCTTTGTGTTCCTTGTATGTTTTGTGGGCTAACAATAAAGTTGGGTTTTTTAAGCGAGTGCCAAGTTTATTTCCTGACCTATGTCACCCAAAACCTCCAGTTAGTCAGATTACCTACCCATTACACATAAACAATGGTGCCTCACAAACTTGTCAATAGTGACATTTATGTTTTAACTAAAAGACAGTATATTAGGGACTAGAACAGCAACATCAAGAACAAAAGGCAATAAATAACCAAATAAAACAGTAACATTTAAATAAAATATTTCTGTTCAATACAGAAATATTTATCTCCACTGCGATGCTGGATGTTTATTTTAATATGATTAAACACTTTCTAATAGACCGACCACACATGTCGAACTGGTCCAGGACCTGCAAAGAATAATATTCCCATCTTCAAAAACTCTGAGAGCCAACTTTTGCTGATGATTAATAGTTTCATTATATAGTCTAGTGTTTAACATTGGAAATTAATTAATCCATCTATATATTAATAGGCAAGCATGTTTCTTTAAAATCTTTTTTCTCAGCTCATGTACATTGCAGGAAAAATCTACGCATACTGTTAGAAAGATATTTTTCTGTAGGTGTGCAGAATCCCTTTAATAATTTAAATAGGCTCAGAAATAAGCACAAAAAATGAATTTGAAATTTTAATAAAATTAACATGGGCTTTATGGGTTTCCATGCTGGTGACGAAATATAAACAGAAAATCAAAACAAACGAAAGAAATGCCAATCACGTGTTTTATTTACAGTGTGAGGTGAAAAATAGAGAAGCCTGTACAGTGCAATTGGATTTTTTGGTTAGAAGCGGTTAAGGTGTGGTGGAATGTCTTTGAAGATTAACCAGGAATGTCTTTGAAGATTAACCTTTTTAGTGCGATCATGTGTTCATAGTGTCAAATTTTGAGGTTAAATTAAAACAAACGAACTGGCATAATATATTCTTTCAATTTAAAATATTTAAATATACTTTAAATAAATCACTTGGTCATTCGAGATATTTACTATGAAATAGAGACGTGATTCCTAATTCCAAATCAACTACCGTAACGAATAAATTGTTATTTAATTATTGTCCCCAAATTAAGTTATGGTTACTTTAAAAATAATTAATTTGACATGAGCGGAAAGTAAATAAAGATGCGTCTTATAACACTTAAAACATATATTTACGCTTATACTGTTACTCACAAGACGGTAAATATACAAAAGATGGTAAATTGGACACTCCAATCATCATCAGACCCAATAGGCGAACCCAACATTCGCCTATTGGGTCTGATGATGATTGGATTGTCCAATCGAAATCGATCACCACTTACCATCTTTTGTATATTTACCGTCTTGTGAGTAACAGTATAAGCATAAATATATGTTTTAAGTGTTAAAAGACGTATCGTTATTTACTTTCCATAAATTTAATAACTCGTACAATGCTGATCAAGAAGTTATTTAACATGAGCAAATATTTAAATATTGCATCTTCTTGCAAAATTAATGTTGATCATAATATTAATAGAATAATGTGGTTGTTTTGACTGGGCTTATAAACTGTTGGGACAAAAAAATGATTTACGTTTCGTTTGGAAATTAATATCTTAAGACCAGACCAGAGATATTTTAAGGGTTTCAAGTTAGGGGTCAGAATTATATACTCTCGAATTGACGAGATAAGCCATAGACTAACGTTTTGAGTTTTGACCCATTTAAATTATAATTAATTAACAGCTAAATTGTATTGTTAATAATTCACTTATCCAATACGTTTACCAGGTACCAAACAGGAAAACGTTATACGATAGGCCATGGAAGCAAGATTCAAGTTTGGTTTATAAAATGCAGTAGCCAAAATACTTAATGTTTTCTAATAACTCAGACAATGACATATAATAAATTAATTTATTTGATCTTAAATGAATCTTCTTTTGTAAGTAATACAACATTGTCCCTTGATAACATACCAGTTTGTTTGTTTTGATTTAACCTCAAAAATTGATATGTGAACATTGAACACATGATCACACTCACCACAGCCAAAAAGGTTCATCCTCAAACCTCAACCACTTCTAGCTAAAAAGGCCAATTGTAGGCCTACATATTTTTGGTTGAATTTTCAACCACTGGACGACCCCTAGTTTATTGTATTATATAGGTTTAAATTGTAATATTTACTCCCCAACTCTTTATTTAATTCCACAACCCTTGCCACTATTTATTATGCTTTGAATTTTAACAAAAGCTAGTCACCAAGGAGCATGGTTCATTTAATAGAAAAATGAATTTTGACAATGACAACAATTGTATTAATTAGTTGAAAATCTGAAGACCCTAATTAGACGTTCCCTTAAGGTAACCTACCTGTACATGATGTTGCTTCAGTGACAGCTGGTCCGTGACTTTCCTCCTTCCCCCATCTTCTCCTCCTGGCGGGGGAGATGGTATAAGTGGAGCAGACCTTGTTGACTTTGGTGTACGACAACTGACAACTATGGTTCATTTACCAGCTGTATCAAGGCACTCACCACATCATGTGATGCAATAATTCTTAACCCTACACTCAAGTGTTTATGTGAAACACTTCAATTGTGCCCAAGTTATTACATGGATACGTCAATTAAATTTATTATTAAATAGGTTGATTTAGTAGCGAGTTTTCTCACCATATCTAAGTCTGGTACTTTTGATTTTGTCTAGCTTATGGACCATTGTAGTTACCATCACAATCCCGAATCCTATTGAACCTCAAAAGATTCTTAGGGCATTTTTATAAGGAAATGCATTTTTATGAGTAAATGTTTTTACGTGAGGAGCCTCCGTTGAGGCTATATTTGTAAAAAGTGTTATTGGTAGAAAATTAAATTATGAGATACAGCCGTGGATAGTGTGACAATAGCTAAATTTGTAACATAAGAAGTCGAGTTTACTTCTTATGAAACACTCCAATTAATTTTTCAATACCTTTGTTGGAGTGGTATTGAATTTCAAAAATATAACAGCCATTTTCCATTATGGCCAACAACTTAAATATTTCTAATGGAATGCCCAATATTTTATGTTATAGATTGTAAATGTGATTTTAAAATGTTTTTATTCCTGACATTTCCCCCCTTAAGTTATAGAAATACCAACATAAGTTAGAAATGGGAACATAAGTTCTTAATAGATACCAGGAAAAAATACTCATGAATATAACTTTAAATTTATTGGTATTACAAAAGGTAACAAACTTGGGTAACAGGTAAAGGTGTTTTGGTACAAAAGGTACTTTGTTTAGAAAACATGAAACATTGAAAAAAGGGCCACCTTAAAAATTATTGATTACTGTTACTGTGGTTCCAGTTGTTCTGAAGCACGTCCTGTGCCTCTTCGGATTCATCAGAATCATCATCTTCGGACATAACAGAATCATCATCTTCGGAGTTTGCAGAGTTAGTATCTTCAGAATCATCTGTTGCCTCAGACAAATAGCTAACTGATCCCGCCTCAGACATATCGCTAACTGTAAGATCATCATCATGTTCTTCATTCGTTGTTGAAGAAACTACAGCGCCAAGGGGAGGAGGGCTTGAGTGGCTCTGGCGGACATCATTCCCAACGTCCTTGAAATGAAAAGAACATTTTCAAAACATTTAAACAGGCAAAGTTAGGGCCAAATGTTTTTTCTTGCACTTAACATGTGGTAAAAAATGCAACATAAACAGTCCTGTCTAATAGATGTTCGATAGACGTTTCTCATGTTTTAAGCCGATATCTATTGGATGTTATCACTTTGGCATTCAACATGTAATGAACCTCTTATCAACGTTAATATGTCACCACTTTTCACGTTGTAAAGACGTTAAATAGATGTGTGTTATGTTTTGTGTAGATGTCTATTAGATGTTATTATTCTACCCTGAACGTTAATTATACATCTATGTTTAAACATAGCATTAACCATCCCATGGGGCCTAAACTAAGCATAAAAACACAAAATAATAAAGATTTAGTGTGAAAAGCATAATTATTAATTGAGTAAATTGATTAAATAGTTCATAAAAACAAATTTTGAAAAAAACTACAACAAAATTTTTTTGCCCAGACGGTTTTCGAACCTGATACCTTTGACTAATGAGCCTCTTACCTTACCCCTGAGCTATCATCACAGATGCAATCACCAGCTCAGGTGTAAGGTAAGAGGCTCATTAGTTGTTGATATTGAGAGTTTTAGAGTGGTTAAAGAGTAGCCGACAGTTGCAATGGTCGCAATACTTAAACATTTTTGAAACTACAGTAAATAATATGATTCTGTTAATCTGTTTATGCATCAAGTAGTTGAATTATTTTTCTAGGAGTTGGGGAGGATACTGGTATTTGAATATAGATGATTTAATTACCATTATTCATAATGTTATTATAATTGATTGTTATATGATTAATTAAAATTGTTCAACTATAAAAAATTTGCTCAAATAAGTTAAAGAATATTAATTTTAAAAAATATTTGCATTAACTATTATATGTTAAGCAGGTGTTCCCCACTGTATCTAGTATCACAACTAACACAACATCGTCTTATATTCTGCTGCCACAGCATTTATGTTATAAATAAACTAATTTGTTAAAATGTGTTTTAGAATGTTTTATACTTAAATCCAAGAAAGACCCAACGATTCTTTCCTTTGTAGGGTCAACGCGAATACAAGTTCCCGTTGGGCCTACGTTGGCAAGGTGGTAAAATTTCCGCCAACTATTTCCCAACCGTGCTGACCATTTCCTAACGTTGGGCCAACAATGTGTGCTACTTGGGTATAGTGTATATATACCTCGTGAATGATCAAATAGCAATAAATAAGACTAATTTTGTTTACATTTAGGGGGGAGAGGGCAGCGTAATTACGTACGCCTCTGGCATATTATTTATAGATGAAAAATACTATTATTGTGTATTATTTGTTAATATTTGTCTTTGTTGATAAAATTATATAAACATACATTCTAAATTATATATTTTTGTAAGCATAATAAATAATATAAGTAGACAAAATTGAGAACTCTTTATCAATAATTAATGCCATATGTTTGGTTATAATTTTGTTTGTTAGTTAAATTAATTGTGTTTAGATCAAGTAGGCCTATACTAAGTTAATCTGATGACTATGTTTATATACCTACATCTATTAGATGTCTGCGTTCAAATGTCAAATGAACATTCAGACGCAGACATTGTATATACATCAATTATATGTTGATAGATGTATACATTACATGTGCGACATAATGGATGTATATACGATGTCTGCGTCTGAATGTTCATTTGACATTTTAACGCAGGCATCTAATTGATATATATATGTAGACATCAGATTAACTTGGTATACTTGTTGTGTGCTGTCTGGGATATACAGGGTGAATCAAAAATAGGATCACAGGTTTAAAAAACTGTTTGAACAAAGGAAGATAAGATAGTAGAACATTTTGGAATACATAAATGATAAAAAGAAAGAATAATAAATCAAAAAAGAATCTACCACATCCTCTGCTGCAGGCAACTCTTGCTGCTCAATAATAATACTGACCTGCGGAGGGTCCTGCGAGGATGAGCATTGTGGTTGAGCGTGCTGTGGTTCAATAGGGTTTTGCGGAGGAGCGTTCTGCGGAGGAACGTTCTGCAGAGGAGGGTTCTGAGGAGGACTGTTCTGCGGAGGAGCATAGGGCACCAGGCCATCAGGTACTTCTTCTCCCATGTTGGGAACAGGGTCCTCCTCCTCTGGGTGGTGAATATTGATGTGCCCCTGGCATCGCTTAAGCGGCATACCCCTTCCTTCATCACGGGGAGTACCATTATGGTTGCCGTTACTTGCCATATCAGTCTTTAGGTCAGCTAATCTGAAATCAACATAGATTGTTAAAAAGTAATTTATAAAATCACATTCAGATAAACTTGGCATTGGTTGAAGTATGACACTGTGGAAATATGGCATTTTCTGTTTAAACAATAATGTGCTGAGACAGTTACGTTAGTAATTAAGTAATGGAACTAAAGTTAATCTTCGTCTAAGTAGCCTAAGTTTTTCCCAAGCTATTTTCCTGGCGTTTTACTTTAAAAGAAAAAATATTTTGCACACTACATATGACGTATTTAAGTAATTACAGTAGAGTCCTGTTAGTCCGAAATGGTTGGGACCGGCCCCATTTCGGATTACCAAATATTTTTGATTAAACTTGTTTTAGTTTTTTTAATAGCCTATTTTTTGTATGAAAAAAATCTTATTTAAAATTTTTTTTTTCTTAGGATGCAGGCACGAGCCCGTGATTGTTTTTCACATTACTTAAGGCTAGACCTAGTGGCTTCATCATTATCACTTAATAAACTCCATTTGTGATTTGGCGGGATTGGAACCCGGGACGAAAATGAAAAATGTTAATAACAAAAATGGTGAAATATTTACTAAAATACTCTAAAAAAAAGTCTATCTCGCCCGGCCGCTACAGAATACTTTGACGAGGTACAGCTAACTGTGTTAAAAAATTAATAAAAAAATTTCAAAAAATGTTCAAAAAAATTTCAAAAAATGTTCAAAAAAATTTAAAAAATTTTAATTTTTTTATATAAAAAATATATTTTTTTGTTTCGGATTAAGCGAACATTTGTATTACAGAAGTTCGGATTATCGGGACTCCACTGTACATACACATTTCAGATAGAGAATATGGTTTTAAATCTGTACCTATAGTGTAACAATATTGAATTGATTAAAATTATCATGGCATCTGCCAGTGACTTGCAGTGGTAGAGTGTTGTGACTTGACTTTATTATACAACACAGACACATGACAACCACGAAAATGAAAACACAAAATAAAATCAACGAGAGCGCTGAGCTAAAACATTAGAAGCCAACTTGGGAGTTTCTGTCTACGATTGCTCAGTCTTAAACGAAGATAGTTTCCCTTGCTAATAAGTCCATACCGACATTAATAATCGATAGGGGATTTAAAATAGGCCTAGTTGAATGTTTCTCAGTATAAATTATAATATTAATATGTTTATACCTAATAAGCCTATACATAGTTATAGCATAAAACTTAGCCAATTAAAATTAAGTGGGTCGCAAAAAGTTCCAAGGTGATGTTGGGTCGCCAGACCAAAAAGTTTAGGAACCTCTGGCTTAGTATAAAATATATGAATTTGCCTAAGTTTAGTTAAATTGGATTTCATATAGGCTAGTAATACTATTCCATTGGATTTTATAATCAAAGTATCTTTTTATACTGTTTTAAATTAAGCTGATTATTTGATTCAACTTCATGTCAGCTGTTTTAGGCCTATAATGTTTGTTCTAATATTCACAGAATGAAAATTTACAGTATTAATATCTAAAAAGATTGTTTCAATTATTGACAAAGTAAGTAATTTTACATCTAAATATATCCATAAGATAACCAAGCAAACTAAACCAGTTAACTTTTTCTATAAGAATAATTACCCCGCCATGGCAAACCTAGAGACTTAAGCCGGGTTTACACTATGTAGCAAAAACTGCTATATAACTTCTGCTATATAACATTGTTATATAACTTTTGCTATATAACATTGCTATATAACTTTTACGATACAAAAAAGTTACAGACAATTTTGTGATTCCGGTGCCCGTGCTATATGTTATATGTAGCACAACCTCATTTACATTATGTATCGAACATTGTTCGAGGCAGCTATCACGGTGATCGGAAGTCAGAAGCGGAAGCGATCCATAATTAAAACGCGAAATAAGACGATGGTAGATTCAAAAATGTTTTACGTATGACCACAACGCCGGTTGTCCACGGAACAGTTCAATTAAAGTTTATAATAGCATCCCGATCCCACGCACTGTCGCTTTACAGTCTTTCCATTGTAAACAAAGATCCCCGAGCAAAAACGTCCGTACACAGGAGGCTACAACTGTGAACTTTTGTGAACTGTTGACACTAAATGCTACATATAGCAGATGCTAGACGAAAAATATTTGTATAACATTGCTACATATAGCAATGTTAGATGTAGCATGCATCTCTTTTGATCTTTACCGACTCCCGATGGATAGCACAATTTTTGCTATATATAGCAGAATCTGCTACATATAGCAGTGTTATATAGCACTTTTGAAAAGTGACTTTTTCTACTTCTAGCAAATGTTATATAACATTGCTAGATATTACACAAATCTGCTATATAGCAGGTTTTGCTACATAGTGTAAACCCGGCTTAAGTGAATTTCCATTTGCCTGATTGAATTTTAATATAACATTAGGTTTAACGAGTACTTAGGTTTGCTGCTACAGGAAGGGTAATAAAGATTAGAATTAGTAAAATATGAATAAGCTTAGCTTAAGTTAGCATAAAATTCATAAATTTTCCCAGTTTGATCAAAATAAGTTATATCCATAAACAATCAAACTACATCTGTTTAACTTACCTTAAATTTATTTCTTATTCTCAATAAAAATGACATGAGAGTTTTAAATTAAAATTTTTTTCAATATTCCATTCCCTGTAATCGATAACCGTACAAAAAACACTTTAAAATACAAAATAACTTAAGTTATTTGGTTTTAGTGAATTTACCATAGGGAATAAGCTATTACCGTAAGCCTCATGGTAAGACCTAAATCCGGGACCAATTTACTTTTTCGTTTTGAGGTCCCCAGAGACCAAAAACACCCTCCATTCAAATTAATATACCTACTTATATATAATTCAGTTTTAAACATCTGGAGTTCTACTGGACCAATTTTATTACATAATGAGTCGTTGAAAAGCTTAATTCGTGTAGATTTACAAATAAGTTAATTATGAAAGTTTGTTTTTGTTATGATTTATGGAGAAAAATTAAAAAAGACATGTTTTCCATAAGAAATACATTGAAAACGGGGGTTTTCACATTTTTAATTTTGATGCAACTTTTGGCTGCCTTTTAAGGCATTTTTAAATATCAATTTGTAGGAAATTTTATTCTCTTCCCCTCACCATTAAAAAGTAATTTGCAAAAAAGCTAAGCAACCTCCGAATTTATAGTGCTATAGGCGAGAGTTAAGAAGGCCTTCTGAGCCAGAGCGATACGCAGCAATGTTGGAATGTTGCCGCGCGGTGTTTGCAGGTGCAACTCATGCTTTCACATTTCACAGAGTGATGCATGTCGAATACTTGTCACATCGACAACAGATGAGTAATACAGTGACAATCGCTTGAGTTACTTCAGTGTACCACAAGTATAACCATGCACTTTGACTATGGAATATACAACACGGAAATTTGACACGAACATGTATTGTTCTATTAAATCTTACTAAAAAACGTTCGCAAAACTTATGACAGCTAGCCTGACCTTACTACTGTACCGAATTACACGCGGTTGGTACCAAATGAAAGATATTTTCCTGTAGATGTGCAGAATCCCTTTATTAATTAAAATAGGCTCAAAAATAAACAAGAAAGACAAAGTTCATTGTTGGTGATGGTGAGTTAATGTTGTTCAAAGGTTTATTGCGGACATTTTCCATCACGGTTGTAAAAAACAATACACAACATTTCGGGATCTGGAATCTGATCCCATCCTCAGGTGAAAAAACTTAACTAACACATTACAACTAACAATACACAAACGCCCAACCTAAGTTGGAATACACTACAGAAGGTAGCAGTAAAAAAACTATAGTTTATTTAAAAAAACCACAGTGCATATTTTTGACTGCAACCTTCTGTAGTGTATTCCAACTTAGGTTGGGCGTTTGTGTAATTGTTAGTTGTAATGTGAAATAAAAAAAAAATTAACATGGGCCTATGGGTTGCCCTGTTGGTGACGAAATAAACCAAATAAAAAGAGAAAATCAAAACAAATTGAAGAAATTCCAATCACATCTTTTATTTATAGCGTGGGGTGAAAATAAAGAGGTTTGCACAATACATACTTTTGGTACAGTATTCATACAAGGGCCAGTTCAAGTTAATATTCAATTTTTAATTATTTTGCCCTGCCATTTTGACTTAGGCTACATATGTATTACGTACTTCTACAATATTAATAAAGTTGAGTACTAAAAATAAATTAAAATAACAGTAATCTATTTGGTTTTAACGCTGTGGACGTGAGCCTTCTTAACTCTCGCCTCTGTGAGAAAATACTGAGTTAGTGATATTTTTGTACAGCTAAATCTAGACTTCCACTGAAATAAGCCAAGTGATTCCAAATTAATACCTAGTTGTTAAAAAATACTGAATTTGAGTAATTTTTGTTAAACTTTGTATAAATAAATCTACAGTTCTACTGGATCAATTTTGTCAATTAATGAGTTTTAAAAAAAACCTAATTCGTAAGGATTTGCAAATAATTATGAAAGTTTGATTTTAATGAACATTTGTAGTGAAAATAAACGGTATCAGCATTCTGACACATACTTTCTCCCATAAGTTTGTCAACAACCTTTATCATATTGCGTAAGCGGTGAGAGTAAATATACGGAATTGGGATTAGTATAATCTTGTTCAGAATTTAAAGGACTACATACAAAATTTTTATCACAATCGTTTGGGCCATTTCTGTGAAAATCCGATTTTTCCATTGTTTTATGGGGTTTTTTTATGGGAAAATAACATAATTTACAATAACTTTTGAACCGTAATTTTTACAGAAATGGGATTTGTACCATTTTGTTTAGAATATAAAGGACTATAACATACCAAATTTTTATCAAAATCGTTCGGGCCGTTTTTGAGAAAATTCGATTTTTCAGTTTTTTATGGGGTTTTACCTATGGGAAAATTCCCATTAAAAATTAATTTTTTTTAAATGAAAAAACTATCAAAACTTTAAGGACCATAACATACTATGTTAAATTAAAACCGTATTTTTTTCTAAAATCCTATTTTTTGTTATTTTATGGGGTTTTTAATGTGAAAATAACATAATTTACCATAACTTTTGAACCGTAATTTTTAGAGAAATGGGATTTGTACCGTTTTGTTCAGAATTTAAAGGGCTACAACATATTAATTTTTTATCAAAATCGTTCGGGCCATTTTTGAGAAAATTCGATTTTTCGGTTTTTTATGGGTTCTTATGGGAAAATCCCTATTAAAAATCAAAATTTCAAAAAAATGAAAAAAACACCTGGAGATACCATGGATTAGAACCTACATACCAAATTTCATCGAAATCAGACCACAGGTGTAGTCCCTAGCTCTGTACACATCCAGACACACAGACACACACACACACACACACACACACACACACAGACATCACTTCGAAAACCATTTTTTTGGGTCCAGGGGGACCCAAAACGAATATATCCACCGAAATCTCAAACTCGAAACTTTTGACGAAAACAATACTTTCTCCATATACTATGGTATAGGGGGAGAAAGTAAAAAAAACAAGAATACAATAAAAAATGGCTTTATTCAAGTTTTTTATTTCCAAGCTTCTGTTTGTAGCCAACTTTAGGCTGCATTTATTGAGTATTTTCAAGAAAGTTTTAATTTGTAGGAAATATTATTCTCTTTCTGAATACCACTCAACTTCAACTTTGGTCGATTTCCTCTCCATTTAAAAGTTATTTGCAAAAGGGCTAAGCAGCCTCAACTTTATTACCCCTTTATTACAACTTGGAGAATGAGTGTACAGTTCGGCCAAAACCTCTGTGCTCGCAGACGGGTTGCTACTAGCAGAACTAAAACATAAGGGTAACGGTTGTTGCAGTGCTGGAGGGTAGGGGTGAGTGATTAGTAAGACACAAATGTTTTCACAAAAGTACCCCCACCAACCCCCTCGCCAAGACCCAAGCAGATCTCGTCGTGTGTAAAAAACTTTGGCCGAACTGTATGAATAGGGGAGCACGAGGAATACTTGCATTGGGGCACAGTCAGACTAGTTACGCCACTGGTTCAGGTCTTTCGGAAATACTTAACTTATTATTTAGCAACTTAAATTATTATTAAGTTAGTTAGCTTAAATTATTCATACTTATGGGAAATTCTCTAATATTAGGCATACGCCTACCTAAGTTTAGGCCTACAAATTAAGTTACTTAAGAGGAAATTCGCTAGCTTAAAATGGGAATTTATAATTTAACTTTAGTTAAGTTAATTTAAGTAGGCCTAAAGTTTTAAAAATGTTCTCCCTAACCATTGACTGCACAAAACACTACTTTAAAACACTAATTTATTTGTGTTTATCTTTTTTAGAAATACCTTATAGGCCTAAGTTACCTAGAATGGTTTCGAGAGAAATTGGAAAATTCTATATTTTGAGGGTCAAACTGAGAAAACCCAATTAAGTTATACCTTATTAGCCTAAGTTTAAATCAGTTCCCATTACTTAAGTTGGTCTTCGATCATGTTTGGTAAACTTGTTAGACAAAGTGTAGGCTTAAACTTTTGCAGATGCCAAATTGAATCAGATCAATATAACTAGTGTAATCATGTTAAGTAACTTAATGGCCACGTAAGTTAGGCCTATTAGGCCTAGATGAATTTGAACGGATGGAGTTTTTTACTTCCGGGGACATCAAAACAAAAAAATTAAATTGGTCCCAGGTCCAGGTCTTACGATAACTTAAGAACTAACTTGCGGTAGCCTAATAGCCTAGGTAACTTAGCTTATTATTTTTACTCAGAGCCTAACTGAAGCAATGGGAAATTCTTCGCTTAATGTTATAATAATATAACAGTAAAACCTCACTAACTTGACAATTTGTGGACTTAAGTTACGGTACTTTCCCGTTAAAGGGAACATTCATTATTATCGATGATTTCTTTTATAATATAGATATAGCCTATCGATATTTTATTTTTTATCCGATATAAGTATTGACATTTAACAGGGCTAAGCTGACAACTAAGTTAAGAATAAATAAATATTGATCAGTATCAAAAAACAATTTAAAAATAATATAACTTAGGTAATATTGAAATGAAACTGTTCTGAACTAACCTAACCAACTAAACTTGCTGTAACATTTCAAAATTCCGTTTTATAGCCTATTCCCCATATGCCTATTCTGTTATCAAATGGAATTTTGAAACGGTTTCTTAGCCTACAGCAAGTTTGGTTAGTTATGCTAGGTTAGTTTAGGATAGTTTCATTTCTCAATCCAATATAGGCCTTATAGGCTATTATTTTTTGCCTAAACAAGGTTAGTTCTTAATTTGTAACTTAAATGTGTTTGATTGAAACAGAAGGAATATGGATCGTAAGAAGGATAAAAAAATATATTGATGTATCAAAAAGAAATCATCGATAATAATGAATGTTCCCTTGGACAGGAAAGTACCTAAGTTACAGTGAGTAGGCCTAATAGGTTTTAATAAATGAAAAATTTTGGCTAAATAAGTGACAGACTAGTTTTCATTTAGACTTATAAATTTATTAATTTCATGGGTATTTTTACATGCCTAGTAGGCTAAACAATCTTGGAAGATGCGTTGAATATTCAACAATTGAAACTTGAAAAGTGGAACCTAGTAGCCTACCTAGTAAGTTCAAAGGCTTTAGACAAAGCCAGCTAGACTTTCGCCCTGACAGCTGTTGACTGTCATGCATTGTATAACATCCCACGATCGCAGATAGGTACACTATCTTCATCTTCTGTGATCGCAAAATCATGAATGTCTAATGTCTCCACTGGTTGCGAAAAATAGTGAACATCTTGCGCGATCACAGAGACATCATCTTAGTCTCCTTCGATAGCAGCGGAGTTATGAAAGTCTTCCGTGGCCGAGGAGGAATAGTTAACATCTTTTTCGATCATGACAAAATTGTGAAGAGTGTGCGTACTGTGCATGATCATGGACTCCTAAGGTCGTTCCCTGGACATCTTCTGCGGTCGAGGAAATAGGACTAGGCCTAGTTACACTCCAACTTAACTTAAGTTATGTTAACGGTGAAGATCTTTTGCGGTCACCTTTTTATCAACATCTCCTGCGATTACGGAGAAACAAATTAAGTTATCGATGAATTAAATTTAGGCCCTACAGTAGGGTATCAAGATAAAATATTTAACTTAAGTTAAGGCTCCAAACGAGGCCCTCTGCAACCGCCTGTGTCCCCTGTTAGAGAAACGGTCTTTGACTTTCGGTCAAGTTACAAGGACTGCCGAGTTACCGGGTGTCAAGTAAATAAATAAGGTTTCACCGTACCTAACTTACTTGGGAAATTTGATAAACAATAAGTTAGCTTAAGATTAGGAAAGGCTTAACTTTTAAGAGTTCACTTTACTTCGACCTAGGCTACTTAGGCCTATCTGGGTTGGTTGACTAACCCTTACCTAAGGTATAATCTAGTGATAACTTAGGGCCTAGGCCTATAGCCTATAACTTTACTAACTTATGTAACATAGAGTTAGCTTATTCTATAGAGTTTCAAAGACATGACAATATTGCCATTACACGACTTTGTTGGAACATTTTGGCCTAAAATGGAACTAAGGCCTAAGCTTGGTAAAACATAGGTCCTACTGCATGGATGAATCAGGTTCAGAAAGCTAAGGGAGCTGAAAAAACAAAAATCTATTCTTCTATAAACGAAAATTAGTTTTTTAATTGTAGGATAAAGATTTCATTCAACTTACCGAAAGAAAAACTATGTAAAATCAACAATAAAGGCGATTAAATAAAGTTAACTATAGTAAACAAACATAAGCTAGCCTCTTCGTTTCGTACAACAGAGAGAAGAGAAGACGAAGAATAGGCGGGTATCTATGGTGGAAGATGGAACGGAAATGAGGTAAGAATAATAACTATTTTCCGGCAAGACCATAATGCCTTGTAGTTAAAGGCGTAAGTGGGGGAGGTCGATGCTATTTATATGTACTGTATTAAATGCAATACGTTTGTTAGCTCTAACTAGCTATTCCTTAGGTAATATAGGAATTTAACAAAACCTCTTGGTCAATCCAGCAGTCGTCAGTGGTTCCATTGACTATAGAGATGTACAGTAAATGCTATCTTAACTAACGTACTTTGTTTATAATCACTCACCATTGACCTAGTATACAGGTTGAATAAAAAGTCAAGACCCCCCCATCTAATATTTTCCAAGTAAATATACAGAGATATCCTTTTGGTGGTCGTGCAATCTTTGCAGGAAGTTTCATTTTATGATTTTGAAATTTTTGAGTGTCCCCCCAAAAGGGGGATTTGGGGGCAACTCAAATATTTTTAATGTAAACCCCCTTCAAGTGACACCTCATTTTGGAGGGTTTACAAAAACATAAAGAATGGTGAAAACTAGAGGTCGCTATCTCTTTTCTTTCCAAAATGGTAGCCCGTCAAATGTTGTGGAAAATCAGTAGTAAAATTGGGTCGTAATGGTAATATTGGCTACCATTTTGGATAGAGAAGAGATAGAGAACTCCGGTTTTCACCATTCTTTAAGTTTTTGTAAACACTTCAAAACGAAGTGTCACTAAATGGGGATTTGCATTTAAAGGTTTTGAGTGCCCCCCCAAAAGGGGGATTTGGGGGGCAACTAAAAGTTTTTCAATGTAAACCCCCATCAAGTGACACCTTATTTTGAAGTGTTTACAAAAACCTAAAGAATGGTGAAAACCAGAGTTCTCTATCTCTTCTCTATCCAAAATGGTAGCCAATATTACCATTACGACCCAATTTTACTACTGATTTTCCACAACATTTGACGGGCTACCATTTTGGATAGAAAAGAGATAGCGACCTCTAGTTTTCACCATTCTTTAAGTTTTTGTAAATCCTTTAAAATAAGGTGTCACTTGCAGGGGGTTTACATTTAAAATATTTGAGTTGCCCCCCAAATCCCCCCTTTTGGGGGGACTTTCAAAATCATAAAATAAAACTTCCTGCTAAGATTGAACGACCACCATAAGCATATCTCTGTATATTTACTTGGAAAAATATTAGATGGGGGGGTCTTGACTTTTTATTCACCCTGTATATATAACCAACCTAATGTTATACATAACTTATATTGGAGATATTGGCAATGAATAATGAATTGTATACCTAACTTAATTTACAAGTTTAACAAGGCCAATATATAATCATTGTGGATAGAAAAAAATTATTATATATTGGTCTTGTTGAACTTGTAAATTTAGTTAGGTATACATTTCACTAATGTTATACATTTGAACTATAAATTCAATAATTGAATGGTACCACGGCCGCTTTTAACTCCAGAGACGTTTCATAATAAGCTACTTGTAATAATTTGTAATTTCCATTAGATTTGCTTTGAGCAATCAGCCACGGCCACCTTTAACTACAGGTCGCGGCCTGGTGGAATTGGCAACGTCGCAAGAGGTGAGGTTTAGTAACAGACGTCCCATAAGATAACATGGCAGACAGGCGACATTAGCTCATAAATTCGCACTTTATTGATTCGAATTTAAATTTGTGAACATAAGTTAATTTATTTATTAGAATAAAACATACAGAATTGAAAACCGAAACAATATGAATTAAAAATCTATATCCGTACATTTTTAGACGGATTCAATATTGTCATAGTCCAGTAACCAATATTTCAAAAATACAAATTAAATTAATACCATTAGCTGCTTCCAAACAAAACAGCTGATACAACACCACTTGCGACGTTGCCACTTCGAAGGCCGGGGCTTGGAGTTAAAGGCGACCGTGAATCAGCTGATTTACAAATAATATTAGTTTGTAGTTTATTATTAAACGGGCCCCAGGCAGCGGCCTTCGAAGTGGCAACGTCACAAGTAGTGTTGTGAAGCTGTTTTTTTCCAAGCAGCTAATGGTATTTTGTGTTTACGAAAGCTTGGCTACTGGACTATGAAAACATTGTCTCCGCTTAAAATGTTCAGATATAGATTTTAATTGGTATTGTTTTGGTTTTTAATTCTGTATGTTTTATTTTCAATACTTAAATAAATTATATTTATAAATTTAAATCAATACATGACAAATTAATGAGCTGATTATGGGAAGTCTGACACTAAACAACCCTACTTGGGAAGTTGCCAATTCTACCAGGTACTTTGATCCACAAGCAATGTATAGAAATAGAATACAATATTATAAATAAACTCGTTTTTGTTAAAATTGTAATCATAAATCTGTTTTACTTGGCAAACCGGCAAACCTAAGTCTTTTGGTTTTTGTCACAATGCTGTGTCTTTGCTATCATATACTAGGACTGCTTTCATAGCAGTGAAAGCCAGTTGAGCGTAGCAATCATGTTTCATGATTTCTAATAAATCGATCCAAGAAAAAATGTTTATAGATATAATACAAAGTACAAATTGTTCCCACACTCTACACTGCCCATACTAAGCTATAAAAAAATAATAAAACACCTAAATATCTTCCCTGAATCAGCAAACCTGTTCAGAATCAGCCTGAAGGGTCACCGTAATTTTACCCCCCTGGAATTTCACCCCCTGGGCAAAGCTGATGTCAATATGACAGTAACCTGAGCGCTCTAAAGTTTGTTCGTGGACAGAATTTTACCTCCGCGGATTTGGAAGTCTAATGAAAAAAGACAGAGCGTAATAAATTATATTAGCAATAAAAACCGGAATTTTACACCCCCTGTCACAATAACTAGCGTTTAGACAACTGTAGATGTACGGCCCGGATTTTTACCACGGAATTTCACCCCACCGAAATTTACCCCAGAATTTTTACCACCCGAGATTTTACCCTTTGGCCAGATATAGAAATTATTGAGAACGATCAATTTTCTTCTTTCAGTTTTAATTTAATAATAAACATTTATTTTATTAGTAAGTAGTCCATCTCAATTTATTTGTAATCTCAACTGAGTAAACAGGTTTCGCTGTTTAATTTTGATATTCGGGATTTGGGTCTGGGGCCAACTGTTGATTAATATACGTAATTATGTATAATAAACTTAGTAACTTATAACATTTAAATGATAATTGGGTGAACATTTGTTTAACAATTTATTATACTGCCGTTGAAAAAAAGTATTTAGTTTCTGTTGTACGATAACACAATATGCCTTTTTGTTTCTTCAGGCACAAACCATGAGCTATTTGTGGTTTGTACTGAGAAAGATCATAAGAAATACCCGTTGTAAAATGTAGTTGTAGGCATCCGGTAAAAAGTATTCGACCAATTTTTGTGTTGACTACTGCAAGGAAACCCAAATATTTGGATATAAATATTAACCAACAGTTGGCCCCTAAAATCGAATCCCAAAACTCAAATATTAAAATTAAAATTCAAACCCTGTTTCATTAGTCAAGGTTACAAATAAATTAAGATAAGCTACTTCTTTATTTTCTTTTTTTTTCTTTCATTACAATGCTGCAAAACAGGATAAACCCAGTTACATTGTAGCATTAATATTTGAACAACAAAATCTTGACATGCATTATAATAAATAATAAATATGGTAAAAGTTCATATTGCTGAAGAAATTATAATTATTAGTGTAATCACTCACAACAATACAATATATGACAAAAACGAATAAATATCAATAAATAACGTACAAATAAATATCTTAAAAATAACATTGGCAATTATTTAAATATCTATAACAACAATAACAAATTAAATAAATAAAATACAACAACAAAGTCTGAACAGAATAATTCATTTAATAACAATAATTATTAGGGGGTAATTAAATATCTAAAAACGTATTTCCTGAACGTACTGTGACAGTTAAAAAATATGTCTATTTGATCGTTATTAATTGAGTTGAACAGCCTAACCATTGCGTTGAGCGGCGAACACATTCCAAGGTTCGTTCTCTAGAAGTGGGGCGAGAAGAGCAAACGCGAACGTGAATTGTGTCTGGGCAACGTGAACCGCACACGGGACAGCAGCGCTGCGTCGTCGAGCTCACCACACCAACCGCCTCAGATACACAACATCATTGACACTTTACGCCTAGTGCTCAACTGATCGATTTCAAACAGTGTGAGAAGTTCTGAGTATGGGACCAGCGTCGTATAGTAACCAAATGTTTTGTAATAAAGAAATCTCAAGAACCTTCTTTAGACATCCTCTATGAGATTGGATAAATAGTTTACACTAGGATACAATACCACAGAAGCATATTCTAATCTTGATCTGACCAGTAAACAATATAACAGTTTAATACTTCTCTGATTAGTAAAAATAATGCCCAACCTGTGGATAAGACCAACAATTGAGAAGGCAGTCTTACAAATGGAAATCACATGATCATTATATGTAAATAATCAAATGTCACACCCAAGTCTTTAATTGAAGTTTTCCTCGAAAGAAGACTACCCCCAATATTATAATTATGCATGATGAGGTTGCTAGGGGTTTTCTTTGAATATGTTACAGCAGAACATTTATCCACATGAAATTTTAGATTGTCAAGACTCCATAGGAGAAACAATCGATTGAGATCATCTTGTAGCATAACACAATCTTTCTTGTTGGTTGTTAACAATAGTGAATATTTTGAGATCGTCAGCATATAGAAGAAACTCGCAGTTTATAATACAATCTTTTAAGCTATCAATGTACAAAATGAACAGCAAAGGCCCCAAATTTGAACCTTGAGGCACCCCTGAGTCTTAATCAAAATTGTTCTGATAGGTGTCCCTCAAAAGATACAAATTGTTTTCGACCCCTGAGATATGAACAGAAGAATTTTAAGAGTCCTTCAGAAAACCCGAAGTACTTCAATCTCGAAAGCAAAGCCAGG